ATATCAGTCGCAGTTTTAACACAAAATGACAAATAAACAAAAAAATGTCAACCAACTCATTTGCAATATATATTGTTGGACTTAACAAAACTAATCGATTCATTACAATTAGTAAAAAACTTGATTTTAAACAAGTAAGGAAAGCCTAATTTCGGATGTGACGAAACTTCAATTATATATCTTACTCTTTGATCTATATTTTGGATAAAAAAGCAGCTATAGGAATTATTGTCCGATTTTGACAATATGTAGGCTTCAGATAACATACCTTAAAGACATTATTTGTTCAAAATTTTATCACGATATATTCATTGTATTATATATATATATATACTTGTATATACTTGTATATATGTATATTGCATACTGGAAAGTGAAAGAATCATATGAAATTTAAAGTTGTGTTATATGAGAAGTAGGCGTGGTTGTAGGTCGGTTTCGTTACCGTTAGGTGAACAAAACTATTATACAAAGTGCATTCCAAAGTAAACAGAACTTTAAAAAAAAAGACAGAACAAATGTTTTTATCAGCAAAATCAATTAATTTTATTCAAAATAGTCTCCTTCTGCTTTAGTGCAGCTTTTTGAACGGTCCAAAAACATGTCGAATGAGTGTTTTAGCTCGTTGCCCGGTATGGCCGCCAGTATGCCGGTGCAAACCTTTTGAATGGCCTCTACGTCTGCATAACGCTTTCCTTTCATCGGCTAATACATTTTTCCGAAAAGGTAGAAGTCGCACGGAGCCATATCATGTGAATACGGGGAGTGGTTGATTGTTAAAATGTGATTATTGGTCAAATAATCGGCCACAAGCGTCGATCGATGAGACGGCGCATTATCGTGCAACAAACGCTAACTTCCATCTTCGCGATATTCGGGCCGAACACGTTGAATACGGCGCACCAAACGCTTCAAAACTCCAAGCGATTCTTTGGGTTTCGGCTCGTCGTCATTTATGTCCTCACGACCACTTTGAAAACGTTGAAACCACTCGTGCACTCTGCTACGGGATAGGCAATCATCGTCATAAGCTTGTTTGAAACGTTTCGGTAAAAGTTTTACCAATTTTAAAACAAAATTTAATGTTGACTCTTTATTCGAAGCTCATTTTCGCACCGATGACAAAAACATACTGACACTTAAAACGCAATAACTTCACTTCCAATATATGAAATGTCATGAAATTTTTACTGGAAGTCGATAAAGAATAGAAGATTCTAACGCACTAGTCGACATATAGATGGCAGCACTAGAGTTTACTTTGTTAACTTTTTACTGTTTACTTCGGAACGCACCTTATACTCTGTAGCAGCATGTTGCAAGAGTATAAAAAATTACCACCAAAAACGAAAAATAAACATCGAAAGAAACACAGAAAATGTTGCACTTTTTTCATTGGATAAGCTATACTTATAAAAGAAGCCTTGTTATTGGTCCAGTTAACTAAAGTGATGTTGAAAGATTATCATTCTATCGGCCTTAGGTTTCAATAACAGTCTAATTAAAAAGAATTTTCTAATAATTATGCAAAGGGATTTAATTTTTGAATCACAGAATAACATTCAATTCTATGCAATCGTTCAACAAATATAGGAAGTGGAGCTCGACCGAGTTTTAAGCAAAACTAATACTACCTCACAGGCTTCTTTGCGATTTCCAAGTGCATGCGTGTATTTGTAACTTAAGTGAACGAAAGGATTAAGTATTTGTTTAGTTAAGTAAAAGGAATGGCAGAGGTTGACAAGCCCGCCATGACAAGTAAATTGAAATCAAGTTGATAATGGTTATTTATACGGCTTTGCATGTTTACATACATTCATGTATGTAGAAGTGTGTGAGTGTTTATGTACAAAAATGTGTATCTTGGATTGTTTGCTTTAATTTTGGTTTCTCACTAGCATTTGTTTGTTTACGCAAACATGACACCGCAGTAGCTAAACTCATTCGCCCATCAGCTCTCTGCCATCTACTCACTCATTCATAATTTTGTTTGTACTGGCGCACCCTGTCATCACTGCAGTCACGTTAAATTCACAGGATATTAAAATGTTCATTTTTGACGAGGGCACAGAATCTTACTATTTCACATCGACTTAAGCGTTTGATCGCTGCATTGTCCACTCTAACCCACAATTTTGCCTTTTGGTTAATATTTACTTTATTCGCCTTTTTTTCCTTGTGCTGAAAGAGGCGTGGCACTACTGCAGTGTGTCAGTACCTTTGTTAAATAACGAATGGGATTAAATATTAATTTGCATTGCAACCAAAAATGCGCTAACTTACCAGCAAAGCTTTGGTGACAATCAGCGAAATTTTAAGAGCGTTTTCAAAAAAAAATAATAGAAACAAAATTCCAATTCAGCCTATAATTTGTCCTTTAAATTGTCGATGACTGCAATTAGTGAGAAGAGTTTATTTTCGGGTGAATTAACATAATGTACATATATATATTGTAATGTGGGTGTGATGTATTTAATTCACTTATTTTGAATTTTTTTTTTAATTTAAACTGTGTCAATCCGGTGTGATCATCTGATTCAGAATTTCAAAAACGGTTTAAGTTTTATAAGACACAAGCAACCGGTTAGCAGAAGTCGGTGGTATGCTAAACACTCATAAATAATTCGTACATCCGTTTATATACGAGTATAAGGTACAGTAAAAAGATTTCCATTTTTTTTTTTTTTTTGCTTCGATGAAAGATATTTGAGTAAACGGATGCTTTCTACAAAGTTGATATCACGAAAGCACTCAATTGAAAAAAAAGGACATCCGCGTGGACAACACGATACTTCACTAATATTTTGGAATGGGGGTGGAAAGGGTTCATCAATTATTCTGAAAAAGAAAAATCCTTCAACCGCGACCAAATCGCAAAACAATGGACTCATCTATAAAAAGAAAAAAAAATCGTTATGTCAGGGAATCAGCGTAACAAATCAATAAAGACGATGGCACAAAATAATAATTTAGATTTCTTCCTGCTGGCCGGCAGCAAAACTTCAGTGGGCTCAAATTTTAGAAGAAAAATCACATCAATGAAGAAGTCACTTAACCTATTTTTAAGTTAAAGACAAATATTTGCATGTAAAGATCGCTATAATTTGTGTTTAGAAGTCGATAACAACTATGTTGAATAATGAAATCGAATTTTGTCAAAAAAATAATTAGTTGCTTAACAGTATAAGAAACTTTCAGCCTGTATGGTACCTTGACTATATTAAACCGCGTCTCTAAAAACCGAAGTTTTCGAATTAAATTATATTGTGCTTTTTTTGTATCATACCTAGAATGTTAAGAGCTTTTTATGGCATAAAATTCTAAGCAACTAAGTTATTGTAAAGTTTAATTCATTAATTATTTCATACCAGAACCACTTAGTGGTAAGCTCTAAAAGCTTGGAAAAGCTTTACCAATAGAAAATAAACGAAGCAATGAATTCAATTTCCAATTTATTTACATAACAATTGCAAATATACGTCATAGAGACATATCTTATCTTAGGCGCTAAACTTTACATTTTTTGGAGTTGCAATAAAAATTGGATTGCTAAATATTTTTATATATCTGGCACAAAAAATTTCTTCACGAGATTACGAGTGTTCAAAGAAGCTTTTGAATTCAAATGTTTCAAAAAACACCGCACGATGGGCAACGGTAGTTTAGCTTGAATGATTGTAACTAAATTGAGGATGTTGCTCCTTGTGGGCTGCCGGGGTGGTTGATTTATCTTAATCCTTAAGAGTATAATAGTTTTGTTCACCTAACGGCGCTTTGTATCACCTAAAACTAATCAAGAGAGATATAGGGTTGTATGTAATATATAAAAGATCAGGTCAGATCGGTACAACATTTTTTCTTCGTTGAATTCTTTGGCAACATTTTTAATATAAAGTTCGCCACACCTAAAGGTATTTCCCCTGTTTTGATAGTTGCAAGTTTCAAGATAATGAAACGTTCGATTAGGCACGAACTTGGCCCTTCCTTACTTTTGGGGGTAGTAATAAAATTGCAATTAGGCTCTTGTTTGGTGGGCATTTTTTACGTGAAGTAAAAATATTTTATATTAAACCAAGGTAAATAATTTTTGAAAACACAAAGTAAATCGTAGTAGAGTTAAACCCATTGTAAAGTAAAAATAAAAAAACAAACATTAAGGGAAAAATAATTCACGGACGATCTGTGGTCAGAAAAAGGAAGGGGAGGGGCGTGGTTACATTTTTAAAGGTTAAGAATGGTTTACCTCGATTTCCGCCAAAACTAAGAGTCTTATAACTTTTGTAAATTGACTTTCTTTCCATAACCTCAAAATGTATGTGAAAAGTTCAAATAACCAAGTTTTTGGGTTTTTAGTTTTATCTTGTACAAACAATTTTTTCTTTCACGAAATTTGATGTAAACTTACCTTTTACAAGTATGTCCCAAACCCAATATATTTTTTTCATTTAAAAAATTTTTTTTTCTTATATTGACCTAATATCGGGAAAACTGCTAATTTTTAATCAAAAATTAATAATTTTTAATTCAAAATATCAGATTTTTGTAAAAAGTCAGTGGGCTTTATATTCGTTAAAATATCTACTTTTTGATGGTATAAAAATTATATACCATACATTACTATGGTAAATTTTCTAAACAAATGCAAACAAAGACTACAAAAAAAATATCATAATTTTCTATAGTACTGAGTTTACTTCCAGAATGTGTGGGCGGCATTCAGTTTAAATATATTATAATTAAAACTATTAACATCTCTATGAACGTGAATTCAGCAAAAGCTGTGTTGGTAAACATAAAATGTAACCTTGATAACATTTAAAGTTGAAAAGGTTGAAACGGTTGAACTGAAAGTGTTCCGAATAACTTCAGTACGCGGAATTGTTAAAAAAAAACTCAAAAATGTTTCCTATTCTATATGTATTTTATCTGACCTAACTATTTCCAAATTAAAGAAATTTGATAATGTCTGTTGATCATAAATAGTCATAAAAATATTTAGTGAATTTATATAGTATGTATTTATTGGGTTGGATTTTTTAGTTGTTGCATTACATTTCAGGTTATTAGAAATTGTTTTAATTTTTTTTTTCGGATTTACACATAATACTTTGATTTCAATAGTTAATTTAATAGAAAACGCAACAAAACTTTACAGTATTAAGAACAGTATTTATATAAATTTTTTTCTACAAATTATTGTATAATTTTTCTAATATTCATACTTTCAATAAATTAGTCTAAATTAGAGTTTAATTTAAGTGTGTACGTATGTAAGTTTTACATATGAGTCAGTATGAAACGGTAATGTAGACACACTGTTTAAGTAGCTTGTAATTGATGAATGAATTTTTGTTTTTTCAAATATGTATATGAAAGAACGTATGATCTATGTATATGTTTAGTGTGTACTATTTATTTTCATAATTGATTATTTCCGCGGACCTGTTTATATATAGCACTAATATTGGCATTGAGTTTAAACTTTATTAAAACATATTTTTACAATTTTATGTTTAGTTCTTTGGTTTTCTATATAATCGTGAAAGCGTTTCCGACTATTCGGAATGCATAACAAAATTTCAACAACATAACAAAAACTTAAATACTAAAACTTATCAGGCATAATTCAAATATTTTGCATATGTTTGAACTTAAAATCAAATATTTAGTAAATTGTTTGTTTGTCGTTGCACCACATCTCTTCAAGATGTAAGTATAGTATCTAGAAGGAAGACTATATGAGAATATATTCTTATTCAACCAAATCCAAAGTTAAGTTAAAAGACTGTTCTAATTTTTTCTACCCGTTGGAGAATTATGTGTTGCATCATGGCAGATTCCACTACGTTCACAAACCTCCCGTTCAGAAATACAATACCTCAGGATGAAGTGGGTAATACAGTAAAAATCACTTCGAAAGAGCGTAAACTAGACTTTGAATATGTCAACATTAAAAAGGAAATTTAGTTTCCCGTCCGTGTGAGCAGAAATGTAAAAAAGTACCAAAATAGGCGCAAAATAGGTTAATATGCACTGATTTAGGCTGCGACCACAGCGGCACACCGGTTGTGTTATCAATGTTCAAGACTTCGAAAAGTGTTATACATATACTTGTATATATCTGGCACAACAAAATTTTTTCATGAGATTACGAACAAAATAGGAGCTTTCGATGTTGAAACTTTCGGACAGACGGTAATTTATTTCGTGTGATTGCGGATAAATTGAGGTTGTTGCTTTTTGTGGGTTGTGTTATTGCTCAATTTTGAAACTCTGCTTTTAAAATTCCTGGATTAATAGTTGCCAAGTGTTTACTGTAACACGGCACATATCTTTACTTAGAATTGGCATAAGTAAGTGCGAATGAATATTTAAGTAGTTGTGTGGTGTTTATCACGGAATTTAAAATATTTTTCAAGATTATGAAGAAAGTGTTAATGAAGCTGGATTGGCAGAGGCCGAAACCTTACAGATTTTTTAGTATTATGAGTCGGTTACTCGAACTCAAAAACAGTAGTTTTGACAGAGACTAGTTTAGTATAACTTTGTATTTCAAAAGTCAAATTATTTTGGAGTTTTTTGGCTTTTTTCTGCACATATTCATGGGAAGAGCTCCTTGGAAAACATAAATGGTTTGAATAATATCCCCAAAGTACGAGCCGAACTAAACAATTTTAAAAAAATCTACAAATTTTATAATAGAATAATTAGATAAAATATAAATAGATAATTCGTTATTATTAAAGCAGCTTTATATGTGTATATTTATATATATATTAATATGAGTGTATAACTATTGGCAAATGAATATTTCACGTAAGGTACTTGGCTATTAAACTTTAAATTAACAATTGACTGCAGCAATTTTTATTGTTTTTTTTTCTTCTTTTTCTTTAGCTTTAATAATGCTTTTAATTCTGATTTATTGCATTTTTTCCTTTGCTCACAATTTACATATTTTATTAGATTTACAGCATTTTTGCTATAATTTTTGTTTGTGTAATTACAAGTATCTATAAGTAAATGTTTAGGTGTACATAGGTATGTAATAGTATATGAGAGTATATATCTAACAAGCACATTTGTTGAAGTACATTCGTGATTTTTCTTATAACTACAGTGGTGCGTTAAATAATACTAAATATTTTAATTAAATTCAAAGACAAATAATTTAATTTAATACTTGCTTTTCTTGGCATGCCACTGCAGTTAGACGATTTCAATTCTCTAATAAATATATACTACATATGTGTAATACTTTAGTATATGTGGTACGAGTATTTTAAGTGTTTTTATACGTAATTATATGTATTTGTGTATGCACTTAGAGTAAGTATAACATTTTCCCTAATAATAGTTCAATTCAAGTGGAGGTTTATGAAAGCGGGTCATATACATATGAGTATCTGTATTGTATATATGTTTACGTACATTTATCAAGGTGCAAAGTTGACAAGACTGTGAAATAAATTTCAGCGTACAATTATCTTCTCACATTAAGGCTCTCCCATAATACTTTCTTTTTATTACTTTTTAGCTTTTTTTCGAAATTATATGTGTTTGGTACGAAGCATTTTAACACCGAATATAAAATAGATTAGTTTACATGCAAATTTTCAAAGAAACTGAATATCGTCAAATCGCTAAGTTGGCATTAGAAATCAGCGCGCTTGCTTTTTCAAATATTTGCCAGCTTTAAATACACGCTGAGTACATCTATATTCCAAGTAAGTATATAATATACACTAATATCTATATTCATTCTCCCTTCACATTTTCTTCTCTACACAATGCTTATTCAATAATACTTAAATTGTTGCTTTTCCTTAGTGCATTTCAATTTCTTTCGGATTGTTTATCTCTAAATGCAAGTAATCTTAAAAGGTTCCTTCTTATACTGTTTAAGCATTTGACTCTTTCAGATTTTGCAATCGTGCCAATTGATTTGAATCCAATTCCTCGGGTATGCTTGCGCGCCCACCTACAACCTGCTTAGGTGCCTGCACGTCGTCGGCGCTCAGTTCGGCATTAACATCGGCAGATTGTGCGCCACCAGCAAAGGCGTCATCGAAATTCGCATCGAAGTTGGCTTCAAAGTTTGCCTCGAATCCATCACCAGCGTCAGCAGCGCTACCTTTTTCATTAAATGGGTCTTCAGCCTCTTGTAAGGTCTTCACTTCGGAATCCGGATCCTGATCGGATGAGTGTGTATCGTCTGCAAATATTATTAAATTGACCTTAGCCACTACTTCTGGACTAAAAGTAAGAATAATGTTAGTTTTGAAGTTCCTTGGAGAAATTGACAATATCTTAGTTCCGTTTTAGTAAATTTAGGGATACTAGTAAAAAAAATATTTTTGATAATTGGACTCGCCAAGCCGCCGAAATATTAAATTTTAAAATCGACATACTACAATGAAATCATGCAATTTTAAATAGAATTCTCTGCACTTTATTATGTTCGACTTACCCTCGTGATTCTCATTTTCATCAGCTGCTGCTTGCACCACTGGTTTTGGTTCCACCTTTTTCTGTTTAACAGGCTTGTCGTCGTCGCTGCTGGCAGTTTTTGCTGTTGCTGCAACTGCACTACCTCCATCACTTTCTCCTACCGGAGGGAAAGATTTATCTGTGCCGTCTTCAACCATTGGGGTTGCGGCGGTAACAATTATTTGTGCCATACCTAAATTTAGTGAATTACCTTCCTTGCTGGGTCCGACATTTAAAGCCGGTGGCGGCAGCGATGGTGGTGGATTACCATCGTCGCTGATATCGTCCTTTAATAAACATTAAAAAAAGTTATTTTTAAATTATGCAAATATAGCATTGAAAGTAGTACGTTTTTTCATTAAGATATGTTATACTGGAAATTTTTAATCAATGTAAATTAGGGCTTGCACCAATTACCTCCATTCCAGGCTCTTGTATGAGTACTGAGTGCATTAAATGAGAATGGTTTTCTTAATGTTAACATGTTTCAAGTTTGTTAGAAAGGCTTTTGTTAATAAAATTATTTGTTTTATTTGCGTATTTAGCAAAATTGAGAGGAGCAAAAATTAACGGTAGCAGAACATGGTTTCTAACACACTACTTTTACATTATGGAATTATATTGTGCCATATACATACATACACAAATAGTACATATTTATTTACGTAAAATGTTAAGCTACTTAACATATACATACATAATTATTTAGTAATTAAAATTGCCTATTTTAAAATTTGTTCTTTTTTTTATCTGGCACTAATTTTTTTAATTCGTACTCAGTATAGTTTAGAGTGGTGTTTTCAACACAATTTAAAATGTAAATAATAAACACTTAGAAAGAAAACATGCGCATAAGACTAACTATATACGAAATTAGAAAATATATGTATTTAAATATAATACATTCAGTTTAATTCGGATATATCAAAATATTGATACGATTTATTATTCCTTGATACAGTTTTCATTTATCGGACTTTCGTAGAGGAATTTTGGTTGAAAGTTTAGACAAAGTAGGTTCAAAACATTGATTCGTGACTGTCTTCGATTCGCCAAGCATTACAACTATACCAGATCAAGCAAACGGGTAGCACTTGCGGTGCAACCTTGCGCAAACATGTACTTTGACGCATACGCAATAGTTTTATGATTCGTTCTTCATGGTGTAATAACCATAAGCAATAACCAGAATATTACGTTAGTTATTCGTGGGAAGGCTATATCTGGTGCTGCAAATTCTCCAATTATGATAGGTATAATGTTAAAGAAAATCATTACGAATCATGGGCGGTTACAATTACTTTATAATTTTAATCGTCTCCGATTAAAGCTCCGGGGTGCACTAGTTCTATTTGAACTAAAATTCTAAGTGATGTAACAACTATTCCTGCTCAAGCTCCGAAAATGAAATATAGGGTTCCAATATCTTTGCGATTTGTTGAAAATAACCATTGTAGCGATTAAATGGCTGAAGTTTAGGCAATAGACTGTAAATTCATTATTCTTGAATAGAAGGAGAGAAAGTAATATACAGCTATCAGGCGAATGGTGTCATAGAACTTAAGTGAGCTCGAAAATTACCGAAAGTCTTTGCGAAGAAGTTTTGGCAAGTATTATAAGTAAATAAATGAAAGGACATATTACACCATGCGAACTTATATGTAGCGCCCTCGTAGTCAAAATCATTTGGAACTTTACATGACACTTGCAAGATTTTGTTCATTCATAGAAGTCCCTCACTTCAAGTGGTATAAATTAAGTTAAATAAATAGTTCCAAAATAATTACCAAATCACTTTTAAAACAACTTTCTTGAAATTCAATATGTTGAACAAAAATCAATAGATCAAAATTCGGTATAAAATGTTTGAAGAAAAGCCTGAATATGGGATGTAGCAAAGTATGGATAGATATTTAATTTTGACATATTTCCTTAAGAGAGGGAAGCCCCTGTGAATTATCGCTTCCCTACAAGTATTTATACATACATTTCTGCTCAAATATTTAAATTAATTTTAATTTTCGATTCTAAAATTAAATGCTGAATTTGATCTTTAAGATTTTTTAGTTTCAGCAAGTAGCTATCGATTTAAAATATTTATGTACTTTTCTAATATTCAATTTATTTTATTTTTAATTAAAAATACTATTTTATTGAATATACATACGCATATATATCTTCACTCGCAGTAAAGGGCGATGAAAAACTTGAAATACAACCCGAAACTATTAAGAAGTCTTATTTGACGATATTCTACGTAGATAAATAATCTTGACAATTTTCTTAATATTTGCGCAAATCATCTTCAAACTTTTGATATAAATGAAAATAGAATTGACTCAAAGTAAAAGGTGTGAGGGCACAATGCATTCTATTCAGTTTTAATAGCGATGGGATTTTACTTCGAAATTTCAAATAGAAACTAGATATTTAGGATTTGTTTTCAGATAGATTCTAAATATTGAAACAGATTATCAAAAGTGATATTATAATAGCCTCGCAACATGTTGCTACGGAGTATAACAGTTTGGTTCACTTAGCACTTGTTTGTATCACCTAAAACTAATCGAGATAGAAATAGAGTTATACCATAAATATTTTCGAACTTCCGGTTGACTCGATACATGAGGTATTCGATCAATATGTAAGAAATCTTAACGGGACTAAGAAAGAATAATGGTGTATCTTCTTGCATGTGTTATTAATAATAGCTGCAAGACTTCCTACTTTTAAGCAAAATAATAAATCCCAAATATCACTTTACCTTACCTATAAAAGTATATAAACTATATTTGTAATACCAATGGTCTATTGAAAAATATATTTGGACTCGAGTCGGAAAATAATCGATAATATAATTTGAAATTGTAATAAAACTGTATTCATGACTAAACATTTTAATACGAGTACGTACATAAACACCTAAGCATATACCAATTATAATAAATTAAGAATGTATGTTAAAAATGTATATTTAAGATGTCAAAACAAATACATACATATGTACATATTAAACATATAAACCAATTATAAATGGTTACAAATTTATTCAGCGGTAGAAATACTCAAATAGGTGTAGTAGAAAATCAGTTATAAGTTTCAATTTAGATATTTAGACTATAGAACTTTTAGTTAAGACAATACGTAAACAGTAAGAATACAAGGACTGCCTACAGAGAGAAACTATTAAATATTTATAATAGAAAACCCGAAGCAAACACTACGAGTATTTACCCTTTTTGATGCTGGCTTTATTACTTTGCACTTTTTTCAAATACAAAGTATTAATACGAGTATGATAAGTAATAAAATATATTTTGAATTAAATATTTAAATGCACATTTGCTTAAAATAATATGCGAACGTGTTATGTGAAGTGAGTTTTGCAGTTTTAATTGACTTATGCACAAAGAAACATTGCAAATTACATACACACATACATACATATATGCAGGTGGATTTTGTAAATATTTATTCAGTAATAATAGTGTTATTTGTGATTATGCAGTGCGGGGTACAAATATTGATGCAACTTCGGGTACTTTGTTTCCACAACCGAAAAAGCTTGATTACAAAACGCACACACACACACACACACACACACAAAACGGTATAATCAAATATGGAATATTCAAATACATCTGATTGTTGTAGAAAACAAATATTACTTAAAATGCCAACACTGTTTGATGAAAAGAAATATACACTTCACATTTTGTTTTTTGAAAAATTGGAAATAGGAAATTTTTTAGCACATTGTTAGTAAGATGGGTATCGTGGATTTTACCTCTAAAGATATTATAGAAGCAGGAGTATTCATAATATAATATAATATAATAAAATTAAGATCAAATTTTTGTAGAAGTACTAAAGGAGCAGTGAAAATTTCATTGAAAATGCTTAAAGCATATACTAAATTACCTGGTGGAGGCATGCTGGGTGCGCCACCGTTCGGTATATAGCCGCTGTCATCATCTAAATCAATTAGAGAAACACAATTAATTTTCAATATATAACTATTGGGTCTATAACTACAAGTATATTCGTGCGTTTTTTTTTTCAAAATTCAAATGTGTTTTTAAGAAAAACATGTATAATTTTATATTTTATATTATTATTTTATATAGTGCCCATGTAACGCTAAAATATTTCTCATCTTTCTGGCAATTTATGGCTTCCATGCCGAAAGAACTGCGCCAAGAAAGAATCAAGCCAATTTTTGATTCCCTGCAGGCATTCTGCATCGGCTGAAATAAATGGTGGTTTGAAGGGGCAAGGTTCTGGGCTAGAAGGCGGGTAAAGCAAAAATTCACAACACTGCTTTCGAAACAGTTTTTAAGAGGTCTTTAAGCCGAGCTTGAAGAAAAGTTATTGCTTCGTATCTCGGTTTTAGGAGCTATCTTGGTGTCATAGATAGTCGGCGCTGCTTTTAAACAGTTTGATATGGCTGCTTGAGAAACCCCCAAAGGATTCTACGAGTTATTCTTATGTTTGCCAACAGTCTTCATCGATTAATGCTTCGCGTTCCTTGTCTTTAAACTTTTTATGTTCACATAACCTTCTACCTAATTACGATAACTTTCGGCTAAGACTTTCTCCATATTAAAGAAATGAAAATAGCTTTTCAGGAAAGCTTCAAACGAACCACGTATACTGAAAAATACGCACAAGGATAGTGGATTTCCAACGCATGTTCGAAATATTGGAACAATGGAATAATAATCAAGTTACGTTATCTCTTGGCACGAATATAGTTATAGATCCAATATATACGTCAGAGCTCACAAACTAGCACTCACCTGCAGTGTCCTGCGATTCGAACATATCCTCAGTTAGTTCGTGCGCATACTCTGGCGGTAGTGCGGGAGCGGGTGGAAGCGCAAAACTCGGCGGTGCAGTCGGTGGTGGTGACTCATCGCCACCTTCCGACAACGGTTCACCATTCTCATCACACTCTTCAACTACCAACGATGGGAAATTACCAAATTTACCATCTAATTCACCCTCCCACCAGCCATCGTCTACGCCATGCGCCGTCTTTGTAACAATCTTAATAATTTGACCCTCTTCAAAGGTGAGCTCATCCTCGGCAGTCGCATCGTAGTCGTACAAGGCTATGCAATAGAGTACGTCTGACTTCCTTTTTTGTGGCGCCATTATGACAGAGACCTGATCGGGTGACTGCATGGAATCCACGGTTTGATCTTCATTGTCAACGGTATAATCGACAGATGAGAATGAGATTTGTGAGCGCAATTGATTGCCTGAGCTACCGTTAACGGCAGTGTCCTGTTCGATGTCCAGATAATTGTGCGGCACATAGCCTTCTTCGCCGCGATAATTGCGTGCGCGTAACCAACCATCACCATCACCCTCACCAATCACCTCCAGCTGTTCGTTCTCGACAATGGTGAGTTCGTCTGGATTTTGAGCCTACAGGTATATATGTGGTTGGTTCAGTTTATGACCATATGAAGTATAAATCAATTTCTTACAGTGTAGCTATACAAAGCGGTACATTTGAAAATGGCCTCCTTAGGTTCAGGAACAATGGGCTCATCTTTCTCCTCCTCCTCGGCACCCCAGTTGACTTCAGTGGGATCATCCCAACCGGTAGTAGCCGCCATCATCGGAGCTGCAGCAATTGGTTCCGGAACACGTTCTTCCACATCTTTTTCAATACATAAATCAGTTTAATTAATAGCAAAAACTCTACATTTTTAGTAACATTTGGGGCATACCCTCATCACTGTCACTAAATGTCTTATCACGCGACAACTCCTTCTCTACTTTGGATTTAGCAGCCACACCTGCCTGTGCCCCACCTGCATCCTCCTTGTCACTGTCGTAGAATGAATCCGAACTTGGGTTTTCCTACAGATCAAATTTAAAAGTTAATTGTTTGATGGGAGATCATATATACATTATACGTATAATGTCATTGCGCTTACCCCTTGTCCCGAAGCATCTGTGCGCATAGAAATAGAACTGGCCGAGCGTGCCAATTCCTGTACGCCCATAATCTCTGCCTCTTGCACCCATTCGTCAACATTAATGCCACCTTCACGCAAACTTTGCAAACATGCCTCAGCCTTTGCCTTCTCCGTTTCAGAGCGGCGAATCAAATCTCTAAACTCTTCAATTTTCGTGTCCAAATCTGGTCCATTAGGATCATTCGGATCGCTGCGTTGTCCCGAATCACGTAGAGATACGCAAATAGCTAATTTCTTTGCGGCATCACGTATAGCTACGTTCTCCTTCACCACACGTCCCGCCAAATTCTTAGCCTCCTTCGTAAGCGTCTCCGATGCCGATTCATGTTCGGTGGTGATCTTTCGTACTGGATCGTTATCGCACGGTTCGAAGTCATATTGTATGTGTTGTTTTAATACCGGATAGAAGAGATAACAGCACTGTAAATTGTATTCGCGCGTCAATTGCTGTGCTTGATCACGTATTTTGCCAAACGAGTTCTGTGTGGCCGAACAGGTGAGCAATTCGGTGCGGCCCATCAGTGTCAGGTACTCGGCTACTCGTTCAAAAACATAATTTTCCATAGTGGTCATCGTTGTCTGCAGATCGACTGTGAAGTAACGGTTCTGATGTGCATTCGCTGCGGCCAAACTGAGTATGTAGTCATTGCGTGCGCCCGTCGATTTCTCCTCCAACAATTCTTTGCGTGATGTAACACGTGCACTATTCTTTTGCAGCGAAGTGATGGATTGGAAAAACGAACCCTTCTTTTTCTTCAGTTTCTCTTCAATATCTCGTGCTTTATCACGCACATCGTGTGCGCAATGTTCCTCATCGAAATATTGCTTTTTTGTCTTATCGACATCGGAAACGCTGAGGTGCAACTCCTTTTGTACATTCACTATCTGTGAGAGTGATTTTTTGGAAATGGCCAATTTGTAATCGCGCAACACTTTAGCTTCATCAGCAATCTGCTGCTGGAACACTTCGATGGCTGCGAGTCGTGCGCGTGCCAATTTTTCATTCTCTTCAAGTACCGTACGCCAAACGCTCCACATGTTCCTATACGAAGAAAAAAATATAAGTATTAACAATCATTAGAATATTACTTGATTGAAGAGAGTGAAGAAAGGTTGCAATATGGTAATAGTATCAACAAGGAAAACTTTGAGGAATCAATTTACAATGCTATGACTTAAATTTGTATCGCAACAGTTCTTATAAGAATCCATCAGTAGACCCAACACAACATAGACCAAAAATACGTATATTAAATACAAATTGCTCACTGTATCCAACCCATTTCATACCAGTTCTGTTATGTCGGATACTTATATACTGAACGGGGTATATTAAGTTTGGCGCGATGTTTGCAACACCCAAGAGGAAGCGTCCGAGACCCTGTAAAGTATAAAATAAAGCAGCGTGACGAGCTGAGTCGATCTGTCTGTATATACGCAAGCCAGTCTCTCAGTTTTTGAGATATCCATCTGAAATTCTGCACATGTCTCTTCCTCTTTAAGAAGCTGCTCATTTGTCGGAACCGATATCGGACATATAGCTGCCATACAAACTGACAGATCGAACTCAAGCGCTTGTATACAACTTTTTTATTTGAAATCTATCTTCATAAAATTTTTTATTATACAAAACATCGCTACAATCTTCGAACATATTGTTCAAATCGGACCACTAAACGTTCTTGTCATTCAAATTTATATATCAAAATCAAAATAAAGATATATTTATGTCCTTTATGTTATAAAAAATGCACCTGTGAAAAGTATTAAAGCTTCGGTGCAGCCGAAGTTAACGTATTTTGTTATTTTATATTCTTTTGACATTTACAATATATTTGGAATATTTTTTGAATACAACATCAATCAATTTATTGGACGCACCAAAGTTAAGCCCTTTGACGCATTTTCCAATTTGGACGTCCCCAAACTTCAACGCTGTCACGGCTTAACAAGATCAATTTAGACCAATTAACCAGTATCCGATGACTCGATGTTGTCATACAAACGAAAGAACGATTTCATTGATTAAAAATGTAAATTTAATTCAGAAACTTGGAACGCTAGCTATCTTACTCATAATATTATATGAAATAAGCATCAAGCTTTCGAAAATTATCCGGTAATGAGAGAACCCTCAAGCTATTGAAAGTGACGTAGGTGAGACTTTTGCCAACTGTGATGAATAGGATACGTATGATGCTAACCCTAGCAAAAGAAACAGATGCAGGCTTCATACCAACAACGCTGCTTACTACTCAGCGTGCGCCACCATTACATCTAGCATGAACTATTCGAATTATTTCACATAGTGACATCGTTTAGTCATCCGTATATTATTTCACTACGTTTGATGTTTCGTAGGTCATACATCCATACAAATAAGACGTAATTAAAATCAACAAATACCATTGCTAGTGAATTAGGATGGAGGCAATAATTCATTTGAAGTTAGTTGATTAATTTTCATCGTATCAAATTTCAAGATAAATGCGACACCGGTTCTGTTTTAAATAAGCAATAACTCTCAACAAACACATTTTTCCTATATTTTGGCTTGCTATATAACATATGGTATTTCATACATACATATGTATGTATGTTTACAAACCTTCACATAAAAGTACAGAACAAATAAATAAATCCTTCACCCTTTTCAACAACTTAGTTGAAGGATGTTGATACGAATAATTGTACACATAGAAAGTACCCGGTAAGAAAAAGAAATAATATCTGATATAAAGCTTAAAAAATGAAAAATGTTATTTGAGACTTAATACTAAATAGTTATCGAAAAAAATGTGTAAGAGCAAAATCCTTTATTCTTATTGGAGACTTTGAAAGTCTAATTCTCCATTGACAAACATGTTCAAGTTTTCATCATATAATACATATATACATTTTACGTTTAAAAGCAACAAAAACAAAAAACACACGAATGTAATCCTACATAACCTGCAATAATGAGCACTTTGTGGTACATAATATATGGTGGCTATAATATGAGCAGCAAATGTACTATTTGTAGTGCATCAAGGTCAACGATATCAATTGAGTGGACAAAAGTGTACGTTAGCAAAAACAATGGACAGCACTTTTATAAATATTTTAACACTGAAAACAATCAGAGCAACACAACAAATAGTTTGTACACAGTGACGTCACATTTGTAGAAGGAAGGACAGCTCAATTAGCAAAAACATTTAGAAATATGTACATAGGTACACTAAGGTAGGCCAAAAAATATTTTTTTTTTCGCTTTCATATTTAGAAGCAAAAAGGAAGTCGTTAGGAGCCGAAACTGAAGAATATTGTCGATGGGGCAATAGTTCGTAGCTTAATTCGATCAATTTGGGTGCGGAAACGATGGAGGTGTGATTGAGCGCCTGTCGTTTTGCAAGACACTTTTTTCTTTGCAAAAAGTGGGTATTTTTCTGAAATTCGGCACCGAATCGCCTCTTAAACCACCCCTTGTAAATCACAAGAAACGGTGAACAGAACTTTTCCGACCAATAGGGCAATCAACGTCATTGTCGTAGTACGCCTATGAAGTGAAACGCCGGTTATGCTTGTTGTACAAAGTGAGCAAAAGAGCACCCATCGCGCCGACTGGTTCTCATACCCAATACTTCGGACTGATACTGTATGGCGAAGCATTAATCGACAGTCTACTAATGCGAAACACTTTGCGATATATTATAATTCTGGTAGCCGCTTTGGTGAAGCTCAAACCGACCACGTTGAAAATCGTTAAAACAACTTTTGGTGGTCGCCATTGTATCCAGGTAATATTTGATTTCACTAGGCGATTTCCATTCCAAAACCAAATCGTGTTTTACCTTGCAATAGTAGCACCATCCGGCGGTGTGACTGGTCCGATAAGTATGAAATAAAAGGTCTACCAACAAGAACGATAAGATGTTAAAATAATATAAAACACTTAAATTTTATTAAAATGTTTAATCCATGTTTAAAAGTGAAACAAGAGGTTTCGTACCGTCTTGCTGAAAAAAGAGATCGTCCGCGTCGATTTCATCAAGTTCCGGAAAAAACGGAACGGAATTTCCTGCGTAAAGCGTTAATGGTGGTGCAATTGCGTTTCCTGAATCACACGAGGATTTGACTCACCCTAATAGCGACAATTTTGTTTGTTGACGAAGCCATTAAGCCAGAAATGGGCCTTTTCGGAAAACGTGTATTTGCGTAATAATCTTAGAAAATTTCCAAGCGTTGTACCAAAATGAAACATGACATGATGAAATGGCAAACCTTACTGAAAGATATGACAATGTGATGTCAAATCATGTCATCCCTATTGGTAAACGCTATATAGACATACATATTTTACATACCATTTATAGTCCATCTTACACTAAACCACGGTTGAGCAGTTGAAGTTGTTCAATTGAAAGAACTAACGGTTATTATATTACTATCTACTCACCATCTCTCCTCCATGCCCTCCATTTTTATATCTGGTATATTTGGTATTTTCTTATTCAAATACTGCGAAGAGATCTTCAGTAACGATTCGCTGTAGTTTTTTTCAATGGCGGAGCGTTTGATGGTGAACTGTCGTATGTCCTCCAGCAAATCGCATTCATGTTGATTCTTTAATTGCAATTTAGCCACTTGCTCTGTGTGTAAATTCTTTAAGAATTTCACATAATTTCCCTGTTAATGAGAAAATATTTCTGAATGTTAGAGAGCCAGCGATGAGCATTAATTTGAATAGCGGCACGTACAATAAAAAAGCAGATAAGCAGTTGGATACGTATACATTAAAAGCAATAAAATAATATATTATATAAATAATAAAAACACTTTTTCAAGCAGATTTCATAAAAGGTGCATAAGCAAATCAGATAAAGCGAGTAGCATGCTAAATATTCATAACTTTGTTTGCATGCAATGCATTAATGATTTATAACATAGATAGTTAATATCTAAATATAGCCTTACTTTTTCCCAAGATTTTGCAATATTATAAAACGTTTCTCATTATTTATATCTTTATAGTCAAATTGGAACGCTTTCGTTGATAAGTTAACAACTGGATTTTTACCAATTTTTCTGAATCAAATTAATGAAAAGTATGTGATGATGAACTCATTGTCTATATATACTAAGGTATGTGGAGAATATTTGACCAATTAAATTTTTTTACAAACATTAGCATTTAGTGAAAATTTTGTTTCACGATTAAAGTGTGTTTAAAAAAAGCCATTTTATTAATATTATATTAAATATACAGTCGAAGCTATTGCCTGATATATAAGTATACAGTACAGTCAACCAGAAAGATGACAAAAAAAATTGTATTGTGTATCCGGTCCTAAGGTGAAAAAATATCTATTTTATTTATATTATATTTAAAATTAAACCGAAGTACGCTCAAGAAAACTTCCAAATCCACTAATTGACTGAATTGAAGGCCGCAAATCATCTTTAATTTATAGAGCTCTATTAGACTGATTTCACCCATTTTTGGCATAATACGATTCACAGTTTCAAGTTCAACGACAGGCAAGCGGCTGAACAGTCATAAGCATGACGAATGGAGTCGATTTGACCATGTGCGTCTGTCTTAAAATATCGATCTAAAATTTTGCAATTGCCTTTTCCAAGTTTAATTAAGTTCACTATTGTATGTATAATTAACTTTTGCAGATTTCACTAAATCATAAATCACTTAAACCGTTTCCGGTAGGTTCTCACCTGTGAATTATATTTGAGATTGCTTTATATGCAAGACAGGAATATTAATAAAATTTAATTTAATAAACCAAGCACCATATTCTTAAGGTATAGTGTGAGTATATGGTATTTGACAGCTATTGCTGCGCAAATATGAATTACTTGATTCTACAAAAGCAGCTTCATATCAATGCAGATATTAATATCGTCAATGAACTCATACTGCAATGCATAGGTATAATGCATTATCAAATTTTAAACTGTAACTCCATTTTGACTGAGATTACAATTTGATGAAAGTGTCCATAATTAAATGTAATTTTAATAAGATTTTTTACCGTTTAAATCAAAGATGGCCTATAAAAGAATATAAATGAAAGAGCTTTAAATACGAAGAATTAAAATAAATGTAAATAAGTAAATTCCATAATATTAATTAGTTTTCTAAAACAGTGAAAATATATGAGATAACGGTCCTATCTTATATCTCTCACATATATTACCCATGTACCGAATCCGTGTCAAAAGAACGAGCTAATTCTCAGAACTACAATAATATATTAAAGAACTAGCAAAAATCCTCGTCGCTATTGGCAAAAAAATGATACAATCGATTTTTTCAACAGCACAATCATTCGCCATAGACAGGAACAGATAATAGTCACTTGGTGCCAGGTCCGGGCTATAAAATGGATGCATAAGAGCCTCCTTACCAAGCTCCCGTAGCTTTTGGCCAGTTACTATCGATGTGTGTGCCCTCGCGTTGTAATGATTGCACACAATTCCTCTCCTATTGGCCACAGAAAGCCACTTCTGGTTGCCTAGCTTTCATCTTCTAGTTTATCGAAGAAAAATTGTAAGATATGGAGCTCTTTCTCTTTTTCTTCATTTGTGATGCGTGCTCACACACTATTGAGCGAAGCAATCTTAAAATTGCTTGAGAAGTTTTTTTAGTCCAAAGTCTTATGTTTCTAACGCCATATAGTGACTCGTAATCGATCACATTTATACCACGCGAGATACAGATTACTAAAGATATCTATAGATAAAATTATTTTTTATTTTTTGCCAGATCTTATACTTTCCTCTACTTAATTAAAAAGTGCAGATAATATTTAAAAAAAAAATAATAATTTTTTTTATATATATTTACTAAAAGTGTTGTTCACAAAAATTGGAAAAATAATTGCAGAAAATTAAACGCGTAGGTGTCAAATTGAACATCTTTATGTTGGTACATATAAACGAAAACAGTTAATGACAAAATCGAAATCGGTGACAAATAGGGGAATAAACAATACTCAACATATCAACACATACACATTAACACGAGTGAAACGTACGTTTAATACACATATGTATATACATTACAAGTACATTTAGCCAATTCAGGGGGCCGAAACTTACCTTACGTGGCGGGGGCTGCATTTTCGAGTGTGTTTACTTGGAATTGCACTCAGTGCAACCACTTCAAAATAGATTTGGAAAAATAATATTCTAATTTTTTTTTTTTTTTTTTTTTTTTTTTTGTTAGTTTTAGTTTTTGTTTTGGTATTGCGTTGGTGGCGCAGTTAATAGAGATATCGATATTTAATTTTTACCCTTAGCAATCGACTGTTTTCAATTAAAATGCGGACATAATAGCTATATGAAATATTGAAGGAAAAAGGAAATGAAAATCATAAGGAAATAGGGTAAAGGAATAGTAATGACACACAAATATTCAGAGCTTAGCTGAAAGCATTTTGATTACTTTGTTTGTTGTTGTCTCTTTTTTACTTTTTTTTATTGAGAGAAGCACTAGAATTATGAGGGAGTACAATCACACAAGGAAACGTAAAAAGGTTATACTGCGCGACAGGCAATTTTCAAGTTCTTATATAAGCACATGTATCTGACGGAAAGGCCGTGCAGTCGCGAATATACTGAAGCGCTGTTGCTAAATTTAAAAAAAAGTATTAAATTAGCTATGGAGCATAGCACTAAAAAGCACTTCACATATACTACACTTTATGTAATGAGTTGAGAAAGAAATGTAACTCTGTAAATTGAATCACCGCTTTTTGTTTCTTTTAGCGAAGTTGACATGCAATTTTCCAACTTCTCAATTTTTTTCGACAAAATAATAATTTTTCTTCAAGCACATCAGCAAATATTGCACAAGCATATATTTTAAATACGTCGAATATACATATTATATTTATGTAGGAGCATAAAATAAATTTCTTTAATATTCATATATGAGGTTATTGGATTAGCACTAAATAATTAATACTTTCACATTAGCATTAAATATAATATTATGCTAACACTTTTCTTCGACATATCCACTTCGTTGTGTTGTCGTTTTTTCATTTGAACAAATTACTTATAATATTCTCTACACTATGGATTTTAACAATTTTCAGCTCCACATCTATTTCGTAACATCAATTAAATTTTTCACCAGAATTAACAAATTTTTCAGCGAAAATTACAGTCACGCAGTCTGAAAATATCTGATTTTCCTGCGAACTTATCGATTTCGTGTGGTTACGATGAAAATGTCTTTTCAAATTTCATCTTCCACTTTTCTCATTGGAAGTCCGTAACACATAATCATATGTACACAATACAAATAGCACTACGTTTAGGTATTTCCTGGTCGTTTGGCAGACAAACCGACTAAATGACAGGCCGATACACTCAACTCCCGAATAACTGAACACTTTGAGACTTGCCAGCATACCCCGAAAGCCTACGCTTTTCTCACGAAAGCCAAAATAATTTGCAACCGCCTCTGTGAGCAGTGTGAAGGCAGCAAAATTCCACAGCAATTGGCAGTTAGTAGCAATCATTCATTCATATGACAACTGGAAGCAAATATTAGGGCTTCCAACCTACACTCATGTAAGCGCATGCGCAATGCATACCTATATCCTTCGCACAACGATTTTCGCTTGTATTACGCTCTGCATTATGAGAGATTGCTTTGCTCCTTCCCTGCATTTGTTTTCACTTTCATTACTTTGACTATTTATAGTAAGCGCCACCAGCTGCAGGTATTACCAATATTTTTCAATATTTGTTGTTTGTATTCCAGCGCTTATCGCGTTGTAATCAAGTTGCCATAAACTTGGTTGCGTGACGATGAGGTAATATTTGTTCTGATAATTATCGTACACGGTCAGCAGCTGTGGAATTCTATTGACTGATGTATAGGCATTTACATACTATACGTGTATTCACAGAGGTCAATGTATCGTCAATGCAATGGAAGTTGCAGTACCACCTCTCCCTTACAGCCTCAACCTTATTATTATTATTTTTTTACAGAAGTTATTTTATTTCACTCTATGGCACGTCTCCAACTGAAAAGAAAAAGTAGATTTCAGAAAATTCAGCATGACCAAATGTAATAAATCGAGTAGTTGCCGTTTTTGAGTGAATACATATGTATGTAATACATTTTATCAGCTGAAATTCCGTACCCTTAAGCACTTATCGACTGACTGTGATAAGGTAATAAATATGAAGAAACATACAGCAATCCAATATGTATACCCTATATAGCATATAAAGGTATTTATTAAAGAAAATTTTATTGGGCAATTTATTTATTTAACGGACTAAGAATATACAACTTTGTACAAATTGAACTTAGAAGTAATAAACAAAATGTTTTCAGCAATAACAAAAACTAAAATTTAGTATTATTTCTATTTAAATAACAAATTTAAGCCTTATAATAGGAGCAATTTATGTGGTTGGACATAAATTATTTCTTTAGCTGTTGCGTTCACAGTTTGTAATGTATATGGTTTAATGGTTGAATCGAAGAATGCTTCTATCCTGCTGCCCACCTTAACATGCGCTGCAGTGTCGGCATCAATTATAATACGAACATTTACAACTGAATTACCATTTACAGCGTTTTTATCGCACTGCTCCAACTTCACTGTTGCTATGTGTACACCATAAGCTTTATTCAATTCTAATACACACATACGTGTACCATTCTGTAGGCCCCATTGTTGATCGTTTCGTAAGAAATTACGCTCTATGCGATTTGCTTCCTCCAATTTTTGCAAACGTTCCGCATACCCACCTGGAATATATCGCTTCTTCTTTTGATTAAATATCGTTTGATGAGCTTTCATTTTAGCCGCAGCATTTTCACGTTCAATTAGCGCAACCAATAATTCCAACTCTGTTGGCGCTGTGCTCTTTTGAGTTGTCGTCATGGCATTTTTGGGTGTCCGCATTGGTGAGCCAGTTTCTGATGAAGAAGATGACCATTCGATTGTTGTATCTGCCGAATCATATTGGGACAAACGATTTTTTGTTGGTGTTTTTTGTTCTTGTTCAATTGATATACAACTTTCTGGAATGCTACTTTGACAACGTAATATTGAGAATGTCCTACGCACCTTACACCACGGAGAGCTATGAATGTTATTATTTTCCAATGGGATATTTCGGTTACCCAACGTAATTCTTACTTCTTCCGGATTTTCGCTGACTTTACTCAATTTACGTTTAATGCACAAGTTAGGCAATTTGGATTTTCTTGCTGACCGCGAGTACCTTGTACTCAGAGGTGTTGAGGCACCATTGTCAAAGCAGTTCGTATTGAGAAAGCTTTGACCATTTTCAGTGGACAACTCATCATCACTACTCCACGTTATATCCAGCGCTGCAGTATCACTAGATTTAGACAAATTATGGCGGGAAAATATTGTATTCTCCTCGTCACTGCTACAATCGGATATTCTTAGATCAGGGGGTTGTTCTTTGTGACTGCATTGATGGTCCATCGAATTTTATAGTAAATAACAAATATAGATCACAAATTCGGATTATATTAATTGCCGTTCCGAAAATGTTGTTTATTAGCTTTTGTAAACAAATGAATTGTTCACAAATAAACTCAAACATATGATTGTGCAGAGTTACCGGGTCTCGAATGCAAAAAATCATAATATTCAACAATAGATGGCGCCACACAACTTTAAGTCGTACCAATAGAATACAACAAATTATAATAAAGATTTCAGTCATGAAAAGCCAAGATTAAGAACCATTTACACACTATGATTTGTTATTTATACACCATGATTTTCAAGAACCTTCGATTCTTTTAAACAAGTATTATTTCAGTGATAAAATACCAAAAGAATTCGAAACACAGATGGCACTACAAACATGTTAATTTTATACTTCCGTGGCATAAGTTTAGAACTTCAATAAAAAGCAAAAGTGACTACGTAATTTTGTGTACTTATATTATTCAGACTAAGGGACCTCATATTAAGACTCCTCAAGATAAAAAGATGGAAAGTTGAATAATACACTGCGACCTGTAATCTATTGTGCGCTTTCCAGTTATCACATTGCACTTAACCCAGAAGAATTAAATAGGCTTAGAAAGCTTCTGGGTTAATGGTTGTGATGTTCTTCAAATTCATTTGCCCGATAGCTGCATTACTTCATAGGCACGTAATTTGTGAAGATGACACCTTAGCCTTCAGTAACCTCTCGCTAGTGCAATAATTTGTTCCTGGGAAGAACGATTAGTTTCTTGACCAGTTTTGTATCAAACTCTCCAGAAAGGGTTTTTGAGTTCAAGCAAATGAAAGTGAAATCCCGTGTTTTTATATTGTGTTTATTGTAAGGGCAATCCCGAATTCATTTAGGATAGGAAATATTTGGATATGAAATTCACTCAGGATACGAAAAATGTGTATATGATAGTTGTAGTATGTTTTAGTATACATATGTATATTTAAAAATTTTGAACCAGATCTGAAGTGACCGAATCTATGTGTCTTCTAAGGCAATACACCGGCCGGTGATTACATATTCGCTGTTGCTACATTTCTTTCCAGTCATTTTTTCCTTAATGTCTGCGAACAGAAGAAGTCACTGCGGTGCACTTAAGGTTTTGTGAATACCGTGGACGCAAAAACAATTTCAAGCCATCCATTTTGCCATCATTTTCACTCATTTGAGACTTGTGTACCCAAATCTGAACATGCAAGTATTTTCCTTTGATATTTTTAGAGTGAGTTATCTGGGTCAAGTGCATTTTGTTATGAAACAATTGTCAGAGCTTAACAGCCTGGCGCAGAACACAGAAAACACTAATTAAAACGCAAAAAAAAGTGGGCTTGCCTGGTGATCTTTTGCTAACAAATCTTAATAAAATCCTCGGTACCTTAAAAATATATTAACCTGAAAGCTTTGAAAAATCTTGCTTAACAAATTTTAATATAGTTCGGCAATGTGTAATTAGTTACTCTGTCCTTAAGAAATATGAAATGGTGATAGGATATATAATATTTTACATAGACATACATATGCATGACTGATTACTAAAGCAGAGATAAAATCCGATTATAATGGTGTATGTCTGTATGTAGAAATACACCTGCGTCAATGCAGGAGCAACATGTTTGAGCGCTTGCAGCTTGCTTATATTTGGAAAAGTTTAACTCAATACAAAAACAAATCCATATGGTTTAATTGTTAAACTTTTATACACAACCCAATCAGCATTTGAAGGTTGTTTGTTAATTTCTCACAGATTGGAGTTTTTAGTTGTTGAGTTACGAGTGTATGTGTTTTCAAAACCACAATCTTAGAGATTCATACGATTTATACGAGATCAAAAAAACAAGTAAGTTCGGGTGTAATTGAAAATTGCATACTCTTGCAACTTGGAAGCATCAAATCCAGAGAAATACCTTCGACGAAAGCGAAAATGAATTATAATCAAATTTGGTTATTTTTATTCAGTTATATTATAGATTATAGACTAATCTAGTTTTAAACTATATTTTACTTCCCGTCAGCTAAAATTATATTAAAATCATCTTCAAATGAGATATTTGTGATATAAACTCAACCGAAGAGTTAAATTGAATTGATGTGCAAAACCTCAACCAGAGGATCGGAATTTATTATATTAAGGATATGAAGTTTGGACCAAGATCAAAACCGATTCCATTCGATTCACATAATTTTTAAGAAAGCTTGTCCACTTAAGTATATTAAAATATCACACATTTTGATCAACCAGACAGTTTAAAGACAGGTGAAAAGTAGGAAATCATTATATGGAGCATTTGAGCTGATTGCACTGATTAGGTATACCTATTAAAGAACATATTTTCAAACAATTTTTGCTACACTGGCATACTATTATTTAATAAGGATTCTTTCTGAGTTCCTATAATATATCTCACAGTTTGACCGATATTTTCGATAAAAAGTTCGTAATAGGAACTGGGGTTCATATATTCGGTACCTGGATATAGGGTTATATATGTATGTATATAGAAATGATCAGGATGACAAGACGAGTTAAAATCCAATTGTCTGTCTGTCCGTCACGTGTTCCTTATTAAAAAAGTAAGGACGAGTTCGTAGATGAGCGTAATCGGACCACTGCCACGCCTTCGTAAAAATAGGCGAAATCAAACAAAAACCACGCTTACTCTCCATATAACACAATTTTAAATTCCATCTGATTCTTTCACTTTCCAGTATACAAATCAAGAACCAATCAATGTATCCTAATAAAGCCCTAACTTTTCGCCAAATATACGGATTTTAGTATAATTTTCTCTAACAGAAAGTAAAATGTAGTAATTAAACTAACTGAGGCTATGACCTTCGAAATAAGTTAATATGATACCAAATTTGATTGAGACTATGGCATTCACCATTTTGTCGAACAATGAATTAAAAGCTTTGGCTACATTTTTTAATATTACCGACACCTGAAGTTATGATATGAAGAGCCACTATCTTTGACATTTTAAGGAAGTTTGGCCTATGTTTTTCTCTTACCGAGACACAGCAGATGATCTGCCTCATTTAATAGGTCGATAATGAACATTACTTCTAGTATTAATGCTGCAATATGTTGACTGGGAAACAAATAAATCTGTATTCCCACAGTTCACAACAAAAGGGGATATGTAATCATTATAGTCATTGGCATTATTATTCGAAATGAGTATATTGGTTCATGTTTTCCGAAAGACAAACTGAAATAATTAACTAGTCCAATTAGAACTATAAACAGCGTATAACAGAACAATGGTTTACCGCAACAATCATATTTTTTTAAATAAGATTGTAAGGGTGCGTACGATGCGGTAGTAGGAAGTTGTGAAAGAATAGTAAAGATATAAAATTGGTATTTTCTTATAAAAACAATTAATAAATCTATATGGTAGATGAAACAAAAGAAATAATAAGCACAAAAGTAGCGACAATACTTTTCTATTGCACCTATGATGTATGTTAGACAAGTTGGTAGTTATATATGGATTGTTATAAATAAATAGGTATATAGTTCTCGATTTTAATAAAAAAAAACCAAATTTGCTCTAAAAGTGTTTTCCTTTAAAACGATGCAAAGTGTACCTTATATACTCACCAGTTTTCAGTCGAAAATTGACGATTTAGAATGAATCAAGCCAATTTTCGATACCCTATTCTGATGTGAACCGTATTCCAGTTAGGGAGTTCTACAACGACGAACAAGTGACAGTTAGAAGAGGAAAAGTCTGGGCTATTAGGCGGGAGAGCCAAAACTTCCGCGCCGCTGTTATTAACCGTTCTTGCAGCATGAGGCCGAGCGTTGTCATAATGGAAAATTATTGCCTCGTGTCTAGTCGCAAATTCCAGGTGCTTTTTTGTAATCGCTAGCTTTAATTTAATGAGCTGCGTTCTCTATTAATTGTTTCACCGGTTTTAGAAACTCATAGCACATCACGCCGTTTGCCCTTTGATCCTACAAATACAGAGCTTTACCTTGGCGTCATGGATTTAGCTTTGCCGTTAATTTGGCTGGTTTTCCGGATATTACATATGATTTTTTAAAGTTTATAATCATCGAGTAATGCTTCCACTTCCTTATCTTCAAACCTCTTGCTGCTCAGAACGTTCTTCATCTTCTAACCCAAGATCATCACTTTCAAATCGTCAAGACCACTTTCAGTATGATCACATTAAGCTTTCACCAAAATACGCTGATTTTCGGCTGAAGTTTTCTTCATATTAAAGTCATGAAGAAAAACTCCCCCCAAAAACACTTTGTCAGGAACAAAGTTCGACATATTTGAGTTGCTGCAGAGTATAATACTTTTGGTCACCTAAAGGTAACCCAAAAATACTCGAGTCAGTTATAGGGTTAAACATATAAATGGGATCAGGATTAAGAGACGAGTTGACTGTCTGTTCGTCCGTACAAGCTGTGACTTGGGTAATAATTGAGATATTTTGATGAAACTTGGTTAGACGGTTGGTATTTTATATGGGCGTAATCGGATCATTGCCACGCCCACAAAACGCCATTAATCGAAAACAAATTAATTGCATTAACTAAGCTTCACAATAAGATACAAGACAGTTATTTGGTATACAGGACCACATTAGGGAGGGGTATCTGCAGTTTAAATTTTTTTTAAAAAGCGGGCGCACCGACGGCCTCTAATAGGTTTATTATACATATCTCATTAACCGCTAAAGCTATCATAACCAAATACACAAATATTTTTACCACTCCTACAGAATGCCTGAAAAAAACTGAATAAAAATAGTTCCAAGTTGAAAAAAAATTATTTGTAAAAAGATGCACCTTTTGTTATGTATGTGTGTACGTATGTCTCATTGGAAAGCTAAGAAAAATCGTAAACATTAGGCCAGCTAGTTATTTTTCTAATAAATTACTTCTCTTCATATACGCAAATGTTTAAATGCACTTTATTCAAGCGTTGAAATTTTGAAAATTCATAAATCCAAAATTTTTCATATTGAGTCGAAATAAAAAAGTGCGTGTCCGATATTTTGGCTCAAAGAAGAAAAAAATGTTTGCATGTAATTTTTGGATGGAATAATCCATATATAAAATATGTACATATGTATGTATGTATATTCATATGAAAACATCTTCAAGTATTTGATAATTATGTT